ATGATCATCCAAGATAGAGTGATATGGGGACAACCAATCCATACCAAGAATGACCTCAAAATCACTATATTCACCAGCAAAAGATCAACTATAGTATTAAAACCATTAATAGTAACAACACAAGATCTGTACACCCGATCAACTACTATGGAATCTCTAATCAGTGTAGACACCGAAACAAAAATATCAAGAGAATCACGAAGCATACTCAAATGCGAAGCAAAATATAAAGACATATAAAAATATGTAGAACCTAGATCAAACAACATTGAAGCATCTCTATGATAGACCGAGATAATACTAAAGTGAGGGAAAAAAACTTGGTGAACCTGTCCAACCTCTTCAACTCATTGAGTGACATCACGAGTCTGTCCCCGGGCTGTATAGCAATAATAGGCTGGATCGCCCCTAGTGGTAGAACTCTTGGGGTATGATAACCATGGGTTATTTACTTTGGGGTATGAGTAGCGAGAGTCTGAACTCCACCCCCGGCCTGAGAAATAGTCGGTGCCACATCAAACACTCTGTCCTGAGCCATACTCTCTATGAAGCCATACATGCGGACTAAGGTGTCCTGAAGCGCGGGGGTAGTAATGAACCTCTCTGGGATCTAAGTTGGTCCTACTAGCTTAGTCAGAACTAGGATCTCATCATCCTGCACTACTTGAGGCTCGACAACGGGTACCACTGTACGAGCTCTACGTTGAGCTCTACCTCTACCTCTGTCCTGGCTCTAGCTCTGGCCCTTACCCCGGGTAGTGGCTGCACTCTGGGGCTCCGTCTCCTGATCTGTTTCGGATAACATATGCGTCCTCACCATCTGTGAGAGAATAAGAGAAGAATGATTCAATCTAAATGATGTATCAAAGTCGCACGATAGAGAAAAAAAGAAGGTGAAGTTTTCTAAAGCCTTATAGCCTCTAGAAGATAAGTACAAATGTCTCAGTACTGATTCCCAAGACTCTACTAAACTTGATCATGACTCGTATGACCTATGCAACCTAGGGCTCAAATAACAACTTGTCACGACCCAAAATCCCAACCATGGGGTCGTGATGGCGTCTAACATCTTCTTGCTAGGCAAGCCAACATTAGCACAAAGACTAAACCAGTTTAACAACTAAAGACATATTAATGATGATAAAAGGGTGAAATGGCATAAACGTATAATAGATGTACAACCATCGTTGTCTAAGACTATTCCCAAAATCTAGTATCACAAGTACACGAGCCACTAATAATACTAAATAAAAGTCTGAAATAGAAAATACAATATTGTCTGGTACAATAAACAGTAGATAAAGATAGGAAGGGGACTCCAGGATCTGCAAATGCCAAGCAACACTACCTTAAATCTCCTAGAAAAGGGTCTGAACCATCACCTCTGAACATCACTAGGACCAACATTGGGATTTGCACAAGAAGTGCAGAAGTGTAGTATGAGTACAGCCGACCCCATATACTTAGTAAGTATCAAGCCTAACCTCGACGAGGTGGTGACAAGTCTATGACAAGACACTCACTATAAACTTGTACAAGTAATAAGCAGAAAAGCAATAACAATACAAAGAAACAAATAACTACGAACGGAATAAAGAAGTAGAAAATAGAGAGCCCCAAAATAACATTGATGACGTCCAAATCCACTACTAAAAAGTAAATGGACACGATAACATGCAATATAATATACTCAAATATGAGTCGGGGTCGAATCCCTCAAAGAACAATATGTAGGCAATTAGATGTGTAAGATAATTATCACTTATTATGCTAATCCAAACACTAATAAAGGTGTTGAGAAAATATTTATAACTAATTGCGAAAATATAAACTAACCTAGAAAGCGAATAAAATGATCAATGGCTACAAGGATGGATACACGAGGAGCCCTGGTCAACCTTTCGGAGAAAGACAGAAGGTCTTAAGAAATGGAGCCCGGGTCAGTTTCCCCTGCCCCCAATACCGGCTGATCAACCCAATTATTCCCTCGCTAGGAATCATTCTGTCAAAGTAACTAAGAACTTCGGATTCGAATCTAGAAAAAAAAACTTTATACCATAAATAAAAACTATACGAAACTATTACGAATAATAAGGTTGCAATCTTTAAAGAAAAACAAAAAGTCAACTCAAAAAGTCAACCCCGATCCCGCATTTCGGAACCCGACCAAACTTACAAAATTTGAACAAATATTTAATAACGAGTCCAACCATACTAAAATTATCCAATTCCGACCTCAAATCGACCTTCAAAACTCAACATACAGCTTATGAGATTTTCACAAAGTTCTCCAATATTTCCAACTCAAAACACTAATTAAATATTAAAAATAATGATGAATTCATGTATAATAGTCAAATCCAAGTTAAAATTACTTACTCCGATCAACTCCTTGAAAATATCTCTCAAAATCACCCAAAACCAAGGTCTCTAACTCAAACGATGAAGAATGGGAACAAACCCTCGATATGTCCCTTTTCGGCCCAGCAATTCCACTTCTGCGGACCTACAGTCGCTTATGCGGCTCTGCACCTGCGAAAAATCCATCGCAAGTGCGGCTTTCACTTAAGCCCAGACAAATCCGCTTCTGTGGACACAAACGCGCATATGCGCTTCCTCTCCTGCGGATAAATGAGCGCTTCTGCGACCCCAAGCCATACTGGCCCTATCCGCATTTGCGACCAGTTCCTCCGCACCTGCAGGCTGGCAGATGCGGAAATCTCCTCGCATATGTGGTCACAACCAAGCCCCCTAGAACTTCGCTTTTGCGATCCCTCCAACCGCACTAGCGTGTCCGCACATGCGGCCAAGTCCATCGCAGGTGTGATGACACCAAAACTTCAGCAACCTTCAGCAGTCAACTAAATACAAAAATGAACCAGTAATTCAATTCACACTCGGGGCCTTCGGGACCCGGTCCAAACATACCATCAAGTTTTGAAACACATAACGAACCTACTCGAGGGCTAAAATCACATCAAACAACATCTATTCTGCGAATCGCAACCCAATTCAAGCCTATTGAAACCATGAACATCCAACTTCCAAAACTAATGTTGATTCGTATCAAACCAACTCCGAACAACCTCAAATTTTGCACACACATCATAATTAACACAACGGACCTATTTCAAATTCCGGAACCGAAATCTGGACCCGATATCAATAAAGTCAACTCCCGATCAAACTTCTCAATCTTCCAAACCTTCAACTTTCTAACTTTCGCCAATTCAAGCCAAAACGACTTACGGATCTCCAAATCAATATCCGAATACGCTTCTAAGTCAAAAATCACCATACGAAACTATCAGAACCGTCAAAACTCTTTTTCCGGAGTCGTCTACATAAAAGTCAAACTCCGGTCAACTTTTTCAACTTAAACTTCCAACTTTGGGACCTAGTGTTCCAATTCATCCGAAACCTTACCCGAAACCAAACCAACCACCCCGGTAAGTTACAATATAACATAGAGGAGGCTATAAATTGGGAAACGGGGCTAAAATACTCAAAACGACCGGTAGGGTCGTTACAATTATATGCTTTAGTATCAATTAGTTATTCTTCCAAATAATCGCAAGAGCTTTTTGAATTGTTAATTGAGCTAGAAAATAGAAAAATATTCATGAGAAGTTTATTAAAACCATCAATGTTTCATAGCAAATGTTCATAGAGTTTTCAGTCTGTTTATTTCTCGGAACGAGAGTCTATTTGAAGGAGTAATCTTAACTTTGAAAATAATCTGATTAACTAGTGAATTCGTGCGAATTAATAGTATTTTAGAAGTAAACTAGGAGCAAGAAATTGATCCTAAGATAATAAGCTTACACATGTCTCGTCAATTGCCCTTATTTATCTCATTGATAATTATTTTTTTCCTCAACTCTCAGTTTTCCTGCGATCAATTTTACTTGTTTACAGTTTCTGTCTGTTTTGGTTTATAACCACTTCAATCTCAAGTGTTATTCATCTCGAATAGTGTTCATTCGAAAATTGTAATATTATTTAACATCCCTCTGAATACGATATCTCTTTATACTATATTTGACTAGCGCTCATTCAATTTGTACTCTTGTTTTGCGTTCGTCAAAAGGTATATATTTGACTTGGATATATATGAGCTTCACCCAACCCCTTCACCTCCATCTACCCCGAAATTGAATGAAATAGTGGCTGCACCTTCTCACATATGTGTCTCTACTCTCTTTGAGTTATTCATATCAGTATATCTCCAATATTACACAAGTTCTCTCCTTGTTCTGTATTGTCTTTTAAGCATGTCAAAATGAAATTAACAATAAGTTTATTATCTCATTATGCATGATGAGATAAATGCAAAAATGACACAATTCATTCTTTCTGATGTTACTTTTTTTTTCTTTTTGTCTTTCTTTTCTAAATGAAATCTCTTTTGCCTTTATTTTCCTTTGTCTATGAAGCCTTTTTTGCTTAGTTAACTATATTTAGATCAATAGCTTTTGTATAAATGACAGTCCACCTGCTTTCCTTCACCGCGTTTCAAGTATTTTCGTACTTTGGTATGTCGTACCCTATGTTTTAGAAAGTGGTCGTTTTGAGAAATTTATAAGACCAGCTCCCTATCAGTTTAAATATATTCGCATTTCAGAGTTTTTACCTTCTCTTAAATGTCGTTTTCAAAGTTCAACGCTTCTACGTGTTGTACTGGCCTTTTTAAATTTTACAATTGTATTCTATACTTTTGCTACCCTCGAGATTTTCATAATTCAGATTTAAATACATCTGTAAATGTTTTTATAAATAATATATTGACTTAAAAAGGCATGTGGATGGAGGAAACTATGAGATGTATGAAAACTGATTGTAAAATACTTGGAGTGATAACTCTCATTAATATTACTTGCAACCATCGGTCTGTACACATATGAGTTAAAAAAAAAAACCAAATAGAGAGGCTGAGAGAGCCTCAAACTGCTAGAGTATAGTCACAGTAACAAATTCACCACACAAGTGAATATAATCAATAAAAGGAGAAGGTCATTGGTTAAATGTATTAGTTTTGAAGGAGAATGAGAATTCTTCTAACCAGAAAGAATAGAAGAATACGGTATTCTTGTTAAAGAAAAGTCGTCATCTAAATCAAAGGATGGTTTCTCTGTGGTGGCATGGCGCTTTGTGGATAAATTAAAGGATCTCCGAATGGGTTGGAAGATCCCGTGTACCACGTTTGTTGAGAATATTGGTGTTGATATTGTACCATCATCATATTTTGTTGTGGCCGTTGCTGCTGTAGCATCATGTGCTGTTGTTGCATCATCTGCTGCTGTTGCATCATTTGTTGTTGTTGCTGCTGAGACACTATCATTTGTACGTTTGTTGGAGGGGCTATCTGGTTTGACATTGCAAAGGGGTCATCGTGATTGATTGAACTCTGTCCAGGCATTTCATACCCATACCCTGTGCTGTAGCCTGCCTGTTGCAGCTGTATTTGCCTCCTCGATGCATTGTCTTCATATAAACTGTCGAGTAGTAGCTTGTCGAATCCTCCAGCCTGAAGAAGACCATGAAATCAATGCATACTTCTGGGTGTGTATCTGAATTGCCTTTAGATTTCTTAACAAATTACTGAGTTCAAATTGACTCAAAATGTGAAGTGATAACCATAGTGCATATTAAAGAATATAATCATGTATTTAAACATGAAAAAAAGAGGACATACCAATTTTTTATCTGGTGCAATTTGGCTTCTATTGTTACTTGGTGCTGTAAGAAGAGCCAATTCCCAACCTGATGTTTTTCCAGTTTCACTCGCTTGATAATTAGCTGACGGATTTTCTTTGCCTGTATAATATTTTAAATACATCAACTCAATATTACCATGACACTCTCAGAATATATCTTTAATAATGAGCCAAACTGCAATTAAATAGAATCATCCTCGCTCTTTGCTGTAGAGAAGTTGCATGTATTACCAGGCGGTATGATTGCAAGAGCCAATGCATTGCTTTCCTCTAGTTCTGCAACTCTTGGATCCAGTTGATTCAAACCCTGTCCACAAATTGCATAAAGCTCAAATTTCTAAGAACGACAATGTTCCTACACACGGCCAGGGGGACGCGGTCCCTCCATGAACCTAGAAAGAGTAATGTACGTTTACCAGCAAATCAGCAGGCTCTTCTCTTGATATCAATGGTGGGGTTTCTTCTTCTTTCACAGGTAGTGTTTCGTTTTGTGCTTCAACCTGTGTTACTTTATTATTTTTAGCTTCTTCAACTTGTTTTTCACTTACTTCAGGGAAAGGCTCTTCAGGCTTTTCAGGTTTCTTCTTGGTTTCTTGATACTCCTACAGGTAACAATTGCAAACTTCATTCAAGACACTAATTAATACATACATTACAAGAAGCTAAATTTCACCTATATGTGACCAACTTGTTGAAGCCATCAAATTTGCAGGAGTAAAATGATACATGACCAGAACCAGAAGACAAAGGAAACTGTGAATAGATAATTGTGATGTTTTCAATTGAAAAATATCTTGCTTTCACCGATAAATATTTTAGCCTTTGTTTCACTTTTCTTTCTTCTATTTATTTCCCTCTTGAAACCTTCCCAACAGAGTTGTCCTGATTCTTGTCATCTTTACTTGTCAGAGCTTCCTCTTCAAATTACTTGACCACTTTGATCCATTTAAGAAGTTGGACGACATACTAATCTAAGCGTTGTGAAATTTTTATTAGGTTTGTGATTCCGATTCAGGGAAAACTTTAACCAAAAGACTAACAAGGATATTTATAGCTCAAACAATAAATCCAAAATCTTTTTCATGTTCTCACCAGCCTATTATTTGGCATGGAGCCCGTTTGAGGTGCTTCTCTAATGTATTCCTCCATCGTTGCCAGAAATGAAGTAGGAGGCTGCAGATTAAAAGAATGAGGAGAGTTCAAAAGAACTTAATCCATGACAAATGTGCAATATCCAAAGGATTGAGGAAGAGACCTGTTTCAATGTGGGAAATTGAAAGGTTCGAGCTATATCCAAGCCTCTGCAGAAGTCATAAAAATGAGCTAGATTTTCAGCCTACATTAAGGAGGGAAAAAGGAAGAAAAATTACTTTAGATAGAAACTTAGATATGCTGTAAAAAGTAAAAGATTCAAAAGAATTGGATTTATCAACCTGTTGCCCAGCTCGTTTGTATATGTCGAGAGCTTTTATAGCATCATGCTTGGACATCTCAAAAAACTGCAGGAAGATGAAGTAGCAAGAGGAGTTAAAAAAAAAACACAGTGGTTAATCGGTTTTGAGAGTTCAAAGAGAGACAAAAATCATACAAAGTCCACAAGATTGATTATCCCATCGTTGATTGCACAATAGATCTTAAAACTCTCCTTCAACACCTGCAAAAAGAATAATTTGGATCATACGGTTGACAAAACAATTCCTGTTTTAACTTTGAAACTCTTAACTACACTTTTTTTCTGTATTAGCCTTACTGTCCCCTAAATAATTGCAGCAAAGAATGGTTTTGATTGGAATGTTTTGCTCCCTAAATGATTGTTAGTTAACTTTATTCATGTAACTTTATAAACTAACAAACAGAAACCAGAAATTGCAGCATGATCCATTTCTCAAGTGGTAAAAGTAAGTAGTCTCAGTACCAGAGCCAAGGCATACTGAATGAGAAAGTTATAGCAAGCTCCTCCTTCAGGCTGCACAGTTTACCAAAGATCAGAAACAATATTTGGAGAGAAGTTGACAGATAAAATACCAGACAGAGAATTGGATCAACTATAGTATCAAAACCATTAATAGTAACAACACAAGATCTGTACGCCCGATCAACTACTATGGAATCTCCAACCAGTGTAGACACCGAAACAGGAATATCAAGAGAATCACGAGGCATAACTCAAATGCGAAGCAAAATATGAAGGCACATAAGAATATGAATAACAGTGAGTTTAGCTCCACTGAACAGCCACGTATAATGTTACTACCTGGCAACCAGTCAATCGATACAGAAGCTGCTGTAATGCTGGAAGCTGCTCTAAAAGTTCTTCGCCATTCAAAAGCCTTGTTCTACAATGCACCTGATGCAAACTCAAATTATGTAATTGCAGTTTTTTCACTATGAATCTGGCATGAAATGAGATTATAGCAATGAAGGACAAAATGCACCTTGTCTGTTCCAGCTGAAGTTTTGGTCAATCTTTCTGCCTCAATATCATATTTTAAAGTCCTAAAGCACTCGAGTCTTTCCTCCAGAAAGAGCGCGTATGTCCTTACCCAGGCTGAGCAATCCCAAGCTGCGTTGAACACAGTACATAGAAACTATTAATGCACTTCAAATAAGAAAGCCTGAAAATACTGCATATGAATTTGCTTTTCGCCTTACTTATAAACATGAAAATTGGATAGAGAATATAGGATTTTACCAAGAGGACTTGAGTCATCCTTGAAGTTTGATAGTTGAAAAATATGCCCTCTTTGAGAGTAGCGCAGCAGTTCCTCCCTAAATGAAGGATCGCCTTCTCGCAACACCCTATGAATAACTATCAGCGTCTTTATGACAACCTGAAAATTGGTTATCTTTGTTAATATCATTGAAGGAAGCTGTCTCTAAAAACCTAGAATCTCTTGGAGTTCATGCAAACCTAGTGGAAAATAGGGTATATATATAATGGGGGGAAAATATCTATATAGGCCATAACAATTGTAATTGGGAATAAGTACATTTACATTAGGTCCTATGTTTTCTACTACTTTCTATTTTTATTTTTATCTTTATTTTGTATAATATTGGACCGAAATGAGCACTCAAATGGAATGCCATGTTCGTGAGAATTCAAATATCCGATTCCGAAAATTAATTGGGATTTAAGCTTAGTTATCATTGTTAAAATTCAAAAAGGAAAAAAGAATAGTTAATTAGTGAATAGCTCAGAGGACTTACAATCCAGTTGCGTGTCTTTGACAATCGTCTGTTAAGTGCATGAATGCAGTAGGTAACATCTGCTCGTGGGCATGTTATCGATGTTGCAACAGCAATCTCTGGAATATTAATTAAGGAAAAACCCATAATTTTATCATCCCATAATAGGAGAAAATAAATTATGAACTTTTCTATATATTGCCATTGCCCTGAACGTCTATAAGCAAACATTACGAATATTGGCAGAAGAGGCAAAGCTGAATTGGTATATATATAAAGGGGTACCTTAATTCCCACAACATACAAGACCATGCCACCCAATTTAAAGAACATTAAACAAAGAAATATAAGCATGCAATGTGACAACGAGGAATGTATAATTAATAGACTCACTTGCAATATGCCTTTCTTTTGGAGGGCTCTCAACGTGGTTTGTTGCTTTAACAATGGCAATATCTAAATCCTTCATGAAAAAACAACAAATAAAAGCTCATCCATCTAATATTGCATATAATTGAGCCTTTTTTTGTATCTAAATCCTTCATGGAAAAACAACAAATAAAAGATCACCCATCTAATATTGCATATAATTGAGCCTTTTTTTGGTATTACAAACCTTGAATTCGCTTTTGACCTTGGCTAAGCCAACCTTCGTGGAATCTTTTAGCTTGTCGTATGCTTTTCTAAATCTCTCCATTCAAAATGTAAAATCCAAATGGTTTTCCGCTTCTGGAAAATCAAAATCACTTCTCGGATCAAATGGGATAGAGACAAAAGAGAAGAAGGAGGAGGAGGAGGTTCCTTAAGTCTAATTATTTTTCATTACCAAAAAAATATTCAATTTCTTTGGAAATCACAAGTCTTTGAGCTTCCAAAAACAAAACGTCAATCACATACACATGACACATATACACTGTCTCTTTTTCTAAAATTGAATTTTTCTATTATGATTATATATTCGTGGTTCCTATTTTTTTTTTAAATGAAGCTGCATGAAAGGACGGTTGTATAATGAAAAATCCTTTGGTAGTTGTTGGAATGATCATTTTATCTGAACCTTGTTTTCGGAATAGCTGAATGGTCTTTTTATGAGTCACACCTAAACGAATATAACGGTATTTGACAGAGAATTTAACCGAATGTAATGAGAATACTGAAGTTATAAATGTACCTTTGGCAAAGTTCTTTACACCCTGTTTGTCTTCACTTAGCCCCATTTGTTTTCTTGTATCTTGAATTATTTTAGATCTCAATCTGTTAGTGTATTTGATTTTTTTCTTTACAATAACTGACTTGCTCTTCATAGGACTGATTTAGGGTGTGTTTGGTACGACGGAAAATATTTTCCTATTTTTCACTGTTTGGTTGCACAAAATAGTTTGGAAAATATTTTTCTAGATATCACATTTTCCTGAAATTGGAGGAAAATGATTTCCCTAGAAAAAGTTAGGAAAACATTTTCTAAAAACTCCACCTACCCTCACATTTAACCTCAACCCCCTCCAACTTCAATTTTCTGTTTTTTTTTCGTTTTTCTA